CATCTTCATATCCGGTCACATGGGCGGCAAGCCACTCCCATCCGGTCACATGGGTGGCAAGCCACTCCCACAAAGGAGGCCACACCCACAGGGTAAGTTTGAACAATTTTTGAAACCCACCACTCAATTGGTCTTAACTTAACAAATAAATAAATAAATTTCTGGGGAGCCAAGCTGTGATAGTGATTAAGGTTTTAGATTAGAAGTGAAAACATCCAGATGTTTGTCCAGTCCTTATCTCTTTGCTCAAGAGCAACAAGTTTTTAAAAAAAGTCTCCATGGAAACAGTGTGGCAGATTACTGTCCATAACCTTCACCAAAGAGACTTGATTTAGGAATAATAATGATGATTGTGATGTTGTTATAACATGTGGTAAATGGCTGGAACTATAAAATTGTAAAGTCATTTAATAATATATACTCCTAACTTTGGTTTAGAGTACTTTCTTGGGGGTGGGGGGGAACCAAATCCAAAGGATGTTTTTTTTCTATTTTTCTTGTTTAAGTTAGTTTTATGTTCTCTTTTCCCCCCAACTGATGTATAACCCACAAGAGGGATGACAGATAAAGAGCTTTTGAAGCTGTTCTGGCCCCATGAGTTTATGACTGTTTGCAGGGATTTAGTAGCCTAATTCCTAGAAGACCATAATAAATGATCCCAGAAGATATTCCATGTCAACAAGAGTCAACAGACTTCCACTTTAAAAAACGTCATGCCCGGTTTAGTGTGTATTTTATAAAGGGTCTAAGGTTTCTGTTTCATTCTGTATATGGATCATTTTTATGGCTCATTTTCATAATGGATCATTTGCCTGTATTACGGCAGCCTTCAGACACCAAGGTAAAGGATTTTTGACGTGGCAGTTAAATGCAGAGGTGATACTTTAATTAAATCAACAGTACACCTGGTTACCATGCTGTGGTGGCCCGGCAGGAGCCGTTGGAGCTGCCACCAGACTCCGACAGCGAGGGGCCCTATGATTCGGCCCTGGAGGATGTGGAGGACCCTGGACAGGGTTCCAACTCCGAGCAGGTCGCAGAGAGACTGCTTGCCCACCACGTGGCGCCTGAGCCTTGGATCAGTGGGGAGGAGACAAGAGAGTGATCCAGAATCCAACTGTGAGTTGTTC